TGACTGACAGAGTTATGTCCTCTTGTCTGTTGATGAAGGTCGTGATGGTAAACAAGTATGGTCAGTTTCAAAGCAATACCTCCAATGGTTTTGAAATAAAGTGAGGTGGTAACAAAAAACTTAACCAAGCTCAATACACTTTCTAAGTCAAAAAAGGGCCATAATTCTGTCAAAAACCTTGACAGAGTTATGTACTCTTGTCTGTAGATGGAGGTTATGATGGTGAACAAGTATGGTAAGTTTCAAAGCCATACTTGTAATACTTCTGAAATAAAGTGGGGTGGTACGAAAAACTTAACCAAGGTGTGACGCCAACGCCGACGCCGACGCCGACGCCGGGGCGAGTAGGATAGCTCCCCTTTTCATAGAAAAGTCGAGCTAAAAATGATAAAAATCTATAAATAACTAATGATTTACTTCATTGTTTAATCTGATTGTTTAATGTAACAGGAAGCATGCATGAAGTTCTACCCCCACCCCTCCCATACACCTATTACTGCTTCCATCAGTCTAAACACACACTCAAAGACTGACAGCTAGACAGTGGGGGCAAATCTATAATTACCCCCTCCCCCCACACACACCTCCCTGTTCATTAAAATATAAAAATGTTCTTTTTTACATTTGCAAAAGTGACTACACCCTACAAACAAAGAATGGATACAGCAAACCCAAACATTATGCCCTTGATCGCAGACAACAGTGACCAGGAAATTAAATAAACACACAGGACATATAGACTTTTTTCAAGACAGTAGATCTCTTATTATCCTTCCTTTTTTTGTGTTATGTTGGTTAAAACATCATGCTATCTTGTCTGTTTTACCTTTATCCCCACTCCCTGTACTTATTACCTTTCTATACTTAATGTTCTTACAGCAACAGGTAGGCTGTTATGTATCTATAAACATTATTCTCAATAAAAATCTTAAAAATTTACCTCAAAATATACAAAATATATAGCCTGCCCATCTGTGGCATTGATACTCTTAGTTGCTAAACTTTTTAGTTTTGAATGGACTGTTCCAACTTTAAAGCTGGGCATATCCATTATATAAATTCAAAAGGTAAAGTGCTAATTATCCTAGATAATTTCTTATTGGTTTGAAGAATGGAGAGATCAATTCGCCTTGTCAGTTTAACAAAAAATCTTTCATAATCTGTGCCAGAGACCGCAAAGATGTTAAGGTGGGTTGGCATGGTGCCAGGCTTAGTGCGGCACACCTCACAGATGGGTTGGACACGTGCCATGTTTACATAAAGCTGAAGTCTTTCTTCATGAGCAGAAGAAAAAAAACAATTCAACCCCTCACCCTCAAAACAATTACATTAATTGCATAAAAGATTACCCCAGAAAATTTCATGCACTATTAGGATGTTTCCTCATGTTTGATATTATTGCTTCAATTTGTACTTGTGCATGATTCATTTGTCGAAAAGTAACTGTTGGTAAATTTTTCCAAGCTTCACTCTGTCTACTGTGAGTAATGACAGAATAGCAAGTGAATGTTCAAGCTGATATTGGTCTGCACTTGTCTCATAGTTAAAATCTGTTGCTAAGCAGACTGAAGGCTTACAATTCTGAGGTGTGTTATTAGATGATTTCAAAACTTTAAAATGAAATAGCCATCTGTGGTTTATCTCAAGTGAAGGTCCAATTTTTTTTTATAACTGTTAACCAGAAGAATTTATATACATGATTGTTATTTTTTCCGAGGGTATTTGGGCATTTATTTTAATTATTTGATTAATTTTTCAATTATTTGTAAAGTTTCAAGTTTAACAAAAACAACGCAAGTGGCCTGCAAATTTGTTGCAAGTATGAAGTTTAGTATATACAACTAAAAAAGTATTTCCTTATAGATATTCTAAAGAATTTCTTCACCATGTAACAGAAGGTTTAAATACCCTAACACAGGCATATTCAGAAAATGAAAATAGTCAACAGAGAAATAGAACATGTCACTTCATGGCTAGATATACCCAAGATACAACATTGTCAGAATGACAGTGCCTTTTTTTAAAGCTCAAGAAAATTTTGCCTTTGACCAAATAACTGAGTTTAAGAACAGTAAGTAAAATTGTTAGATAAAATTATGATTTACTGTGCTTACAAATTGAAGAAAGTCAAAATCAATACATTGCGGACAGGACATTCTTTAGTAATTGAGAAGAAAAGCTTTTTTTGTCAAGGTCCCTGTGACCTTGACCTTTGACCCAGTGACCTCAAAATCAATAGGGGTCACCTTATAGTCATGATTAACATCCATGCCAAATATGAAGACTGTGGGTCAAAGAAATCTTAAGTTAATGGGTGGACAAACTTTTTGAAGTCAAAGTCCCTATGACCTTGACCTTTGATCCAGTGACCTCAAAATCAATAGGGGTCATCTACTAATCATGACTAACCTCCATGCCAAATATGAAGACTGTAGGTCAAAGGAATCTTAAGTTATTGGGCTGACAAGCTTTTTGAAGTCAAGGCCCCTGTGACTTTGACCTTTGACCTAAAAATCAATAGGGGTCATCTACAAATCATGACTAACCTCCATGCCAAATATGAAGACTAAGGGTCAAAGGAATCTTAAGTTATTGGGTGGACAAGAAAAAACCGACGGACAGCCGGACGGACGGACAAGCTGATTCCAGTATATCCCCCTTACAACTTTGTTGTGCGGGGGTATAATTATGATTATTTGACAAAACCTCCCAACCTACTCCACCCTGTCAAATTTGTTGCAAGGAGGAAGTAACATATAATGACAGATAAACAAGAATTGCTTTATAGATTATGTCTAAAGAATCTATTTTCACCAATATAAACAATAGAAAGGTTAAAAATTCCTAATTACAAAAGCGAGTCTGTAAATTGAAAAATCAGACCTCATTAAAACAAAGAAAATCATGTCATCATACTAGTGGTAAGATATACAAAGAAAATTCAAGCATTGTCATTTCTTGACATGACAGTGTTACTTCTTTTGTTTTAAAGCTGCATGTTTTAAAGATGAGCCAAAAACATTTCAAGAAAATCAAATTTGGGATAAAATACAAACAAATGTATACTGAGCTTTAAAAAAATTAAAGTAACAAGTTAAAAGATTTAAGACAAAAGGAATAATGTCCATGTTGCTTGCAATAAATGAATGATTTTGCAGTATTTTCCATGGTATAAATGCAATAAAGGCTATTTTTGCATATTATTTTGACCTAATTTTGGTAATTTACATTGGTTTTAAGTGCTTTGTAATTCAGTTTCACTTCACAATGTTTTATATTTAAATACATTCTCAAAATTTTCATGAAAATTAGCATGAATCTGGAGGCATGTAGCTTTAAACACAAGGTATTAAAGACCCATACTGAGGGGATACCAGAAATATGTTAGTTTTTGTTTTGTTTTTTGTTTGTTTGTTGTTGTTTGTTTTTTGTAGAGTGGGGTGGAATACTGGTATATGAAAATTTATATAGCTTTTATACTCAACCAGAGAAAATAGTTCCAGAAAATTAACATGACCTGCAGGCCTCTTTAAGATAAGAAAACTGATTTAAAGTTAATGACTGTTCTTCTTTTTTAAACACAAATTGTTTTAATAATGCAGTTTGGCAAGAAAAGTATTGCTTTACATTGTTTTTGTGGTTTTGTGGTAATCAAACAAGTAAATGTACCATAAACCTTGTATGACCTAATTAATGCACGAGTTAATAGCTTCTGTTAATTAGATTAAAATCTGGCTATTATTCATTACAGGTACATAAACCCTAGCGTATAATTAATCCATTATTTTTAATGTTAAATGTAAAATGATAATTTTCTGCCTCAGTACAGCAATTTACTTGATTAGTTTTTTCTTCTTTTCTTTTTTAACACCTTGTTTACAAACATTACCTGGACTTACCTCAGGGGATTGTATAAGGAGTTATCTATTTCTATCTTTAGGTAATCACTATATAGTAATAAGTCATGATCAAAGTTATAATTTCTGCTTTTCATATGAAAGTTAAACCATTATGGATAAAACTGCTGTCCTGTTAACCCCTTTAACACCTCAGCCGTCCTGTTAGCTCAATAGGTGTAGTGTTGGACTGAATCTGACAATCCAGGTTCGATTCCCAGACAGTGAAGGTCATATTTTCTACGATCATCAGCAATGTACCTCTGTCTTGGCATGTACAGAAGTTATCAGTTTCTTGGGAAAGTGAAGGCAACTAGTACTGGTAAAATTGCTTGACAGTATACCCAGGAATGATGTGGTGGCTGAACTGTGCCTGGGTAAATTCAAGGTGGCTTACTGCCATGATCCAGAGTGAAAACTACCAACACCAACACCACACCTGATGCCAGTAGTAGCAGGTGTCTGTATCACTTGTTTACTAGTGGAGGAGAACTCCAAGTGCCATTCCAAGTATAATTACAGTCCTGAGTTTAAGCACCAGAGTAGAACCACTGATATTCAGTAATCTAAGTAGTCTTCAGAGTTGTTATTGTCCTTACCTTGTTTCTTTCGTATACGTTGTGGTCCCCTATAATTATTGTATTCATTCTCGCGTACTTTCTTTCTCATTCTTTGCCTCTGTCTGTTCGCTCGTTCGTCCATTGAATTCAATGGCGGGCTTGGACCTGAAAGTAGATTAAATCATCTAAATCAGTCCTAAAGCTGTCTTCGTAATGCTTATTAAATTAATATATTAACTATATATCAGTCACTGGTGTAACTGTTAACCAAAATGGCAAGCTGAAACTGTCCTCTTGAATGGAAGTATGCCATCCTTATTGATTATCATATTAATTTGTGTTTGAAGAAAGAAATAGACAACGATAGAGAAAACATCTGACCTATCTCTGATAAGTTAATCATTATCAATATTTGGAATAAAAGTAGCACAAGGTGACAAATACAATACATAATTCATTGATTATTGACAACAGATAGTAGTCAAAATGTGCACCTAATTACCTAATATACCAATAACCATGTCTATAGAATTATTGACTGCTGGAGAGTATTGATTCTTCTTTATCAAAAACAAGGAGATACAATCATGTACTTCAAACATAATCTACAGAATTTCTTATATAAACTTGCTCATCTTCTATTCTATGTCTATTATCAATGTTGGGGTTATCAAGATGACAACTTTGAAGTTGCTCAGTCAACAGTATAGAGCCTAGTCAGACTATTTCTTGCATATCAGACTGGCGTTTTCGTTAGTTTTACCCATGCCGGAAATTTCCATTGGCATGGGGGTTCCAGATGAGTCGCGTGCTGTACAATGGCACAATAAAGATGACGTCAATTTACCATTATGAATGATTTTGTAATTCATACGCTGTTGAATGAAAGTAGTTACGGTTGTAATGATATAAATTTTCATTGAAAATAAAGATAAAGAATTTAAAATATAATGGAATATGGTAGAATATGCAAGAAAAAATATCTGACATATGTTTGCGGTTCGGATCGGAATATCCGTCCCTCGGTCACCCGCCCATGGGCGGGTCACCTCGGGACGGATATTCCGATCCGAACCGCAAAATACGACAGATATTATTAATGAAAGTGCATGCCGGCCTGGCTCTGGTTCTATACTGATGGCAAAGACTGATCACTTTTGGTTCCAGCAGCTTAATGTCAACATCTGGCTAGATCCATCTGTGCATGGAGGCATCTGGAGGGTTCAAAACCAGCTATTAATACAATGCTGTTACAGAAGATCAATAGGATAAGTGAGTCAGAGTGATCTGATGACAAAATGGGCTTACCATAATATATAATTAAATTATTTAGTGCATCCCTATGGCATCAGACCACCAAATTAAGGTACTGTTAAATGCTGTCTTTTCGGTCACAGTGGTTAGGGTTGTAGCCTTTAAAATACTAGCCAGTCACCACTGAGAGTTCAAATCCCACAAACAACTTTTGACAGGTTTACTTGATTTCTTCAGGTTATGCCTGACATAAAAAAAACCCTGCACAATCTTAACCCCCAACCCCATGCCCACCTCACCCAATTGTACAAATTAACCATAACTTAATTATATGAAAGTTGTTGATGCCCTCAAGCTAATGTACATCAAAATAAATGGAAACTAGCAAAACATTTAAATATGTAACAAAAATAATATTTTGCACTCAATTAATTGTCAAGACCGGAAAATGTTGGCATCAAAATAAAACAAGAACTTAAAAAGTTATGATCAAGGTACATTTTGTGGAAGGCAACTGGAATGCCGACATGACTGTAACAATATTTTTATTGTTTCAATCTTTATATAATTCAGGTAGTAGTATGCGAATGTGTCATGTGTAAACCACAACTTAATGAAATGAAACCTAAAGCCATATCGAAAGTCAATATCTGTAAAATCTTGAAATTTCCCAGGGATTTTAAAACCGAAAGTGGGTGGGGTGTCTGCCTAACTAAATCACTTTTCATTCATATTTCTTCAAGTATGCAATGACAAACTAACGTCTTAAGTGATTAAATAGAATTTATACACAAACCTGTTTAGCACAAAGAAATATCTTTCCCCAAAAAAACTTCCAAAACGGTTTATTAAGTTTTAAATACAATGTAAACCAGTATATTAAAACAGTAATGTAAGCAATATCGTGTATTTATTTATACCTGAGATATGTAAAGGTGAAGGACTATTGACAACGTGTACAATTTATTGATATCTTTCTATACATGTTGGTGTCTCACTGTTTATTTAAAATACAATAACTTTTCCTCATTCATTGTTTTCCCAATAGTGAATAATTATAAAGAAATCAAAACAAACATTGCTAATTCAGTGTTTTTTTTAAAACATCTAGTTTTTTCTACGGTCAATTCTTTTTGGAAGGATTTAACAGGCAGTTAAAGGTCAAAATCTAGGTGGTTAACAAATATAAATGTAGGTTGTCAAAGAATTTTCTCAATTTGCTGACACTGCAAATGTACATTTATTAAGAGTTCTTCGCACAAAATTAAAGCTTCAAATATAAATATAAATAGAGTATTCAAAAATGTATACAGTAACAAAAAAAATGCTTTTATATTCGATATATTTTACACAAATTAACTTCCTCTATAGTAGTGGGTGGGGCATTTTTATTTAAAGCCCACTGAATTTGGCAATCTATCAGGTTTAAAAAAAAAAAAATTACAGAAAAATTGCAAGGAAGCCAAAAATCATATAGAGATAATGAGTGTCAAGTACTTTAAAATCACGAACAGTTTAAGTATAAGTATATATCATAATCAAGATGTCAGACCAAGTAATTGTAGGCATACCAATAGAGGTAATATAAAGGCAATTTAATACAGAAAATTTCCTGTTAAACCATTTAGTGACAAATATTACACATATTTTCTATGTCAATCATTCTATATACCGTATTACTTTTACAATTAGCTCGATTGGGGAACATTAGTTACTGCAACTTATAGTCTGAAACCAGTACTCAAAATGTATGTACTGGCCTGGAGAAAATTCTTTATAACCATGGACCCTGGTGTATTCTATAATTATTAATTAAAAACCTGCTTTTCAATATCACTTTCTCAATCTTTCAACAGTTCACATTATAGATTTAAGCTACATAATGTAACCATTTAAGGTCGGGTACAACCTCAGCTGCCCCTCCATGCATGTTTCAGGTAAAGCACCTGGACAGCGTCCTCATTATAGAAAAGTCTTGTAAGGTTGGATTCAAATTGACAGCATTTATTGGCATTATGTGACCTGAAGGGGACAATAAATTTCAAATAAATTCTTGTTCCTTTTTTCCTATTTTTCTAAAATGTCAATGTAATTTTGCATCAAAGAATTTTTTACTGAATGACACAAATCAGTTTATCCTATTTAAATACTTTTTATGTGCCAAAAAAGAAAGTCATCAGACTTGGAAGAGTAATAACTGAAACAGTAAATAAGGGTGAAAAAACATTTCTTTTTTTAAATTTATTTCACTCGCCAGATATATTTCAATAATTCAAAACACGGTTGACAAAATTATGCATCTAGGTCACCGACATGTAATAAATCGAGACAAAATTATCATCACTGAGGACATATGGCAGAAAGGAATGTATCGCACAATGTTTTGACTTTAGTGTAAACACATATATATAAAACAGGTTTGGCATAAAGTTGTATGTTATGTTGCACATGCATGAAAAGGGGGTTATTATCAATACCTATGCTTGTTCTTACAATCAAGACATGAAGGGAAGTCATTCCCATTCCCAAATGAAACGGGAAAGTTATTCTCTTTTAGACAGCATAATACTTCTATCAATTCATTCACTGTGTAAACCATACATATTTTTTTTTGCATTTAGCAATATATTTTCTGATTAACAATAAATCTATTTGTAAATCAATTTGCCTGCCAGAAATTAAATCTTTTTCTTCACACAATTTCGATATACTGCAAAAGAAGGAATGAAATTGGATCCTTAAATGAAGGCTAGTGAGCAAAAATTTCATCTCTAGAAATTCAAATGACAAACCTAATTTGTCTCACTTATATGTAACAAGAAAGGGAGGGAACATTTATAAGAGAAACCATTACCACAAACATGGTCTCAATTTAATATATTAAAGGCACATCATGCCTCATTAGAATATATTTAAAGGCACATCAAGCCTCAGAGTGCATTTTTTTCAGCTAGTGTGATTTTTTTAATGTTTGGTTTTTGCAGTTCGATGGGGCTTATTAACACACTTTTGAATCTGTTACATCACAAACCAACCAGTACTGAGCAATGAGTGTATTTTAAAGGTTCTTGCTCAATGAAACAACAACTTGTCCCTTTCAGGTTTCTTCTTCTTCTTCCAATACTGTACATAACCCACTCTAGGGCATTGATGTACAGGGTTTGAACCCAGCAATGTTATAATATTTGTAATTTAAAAGTAGCAAAATGGAAACAAATTAGTATTTTTACTTCCTATGCGACATGATGAAGTTAGTAACACAAACAACTGTTTCTGACATCAGGTCCATTCTTGTATCAAAAGGTTATTAACAGTTATGATGGTGACAGTTGTTCTTGTAGTTTTATAACAAGAGTACAGACACAGACTCATTTTTTGTTCTTTTTTTTCCCCTTCCCAGATACGTTTGTCTGAGAATTGAGGAAAAACAGTCTGGATGATATTGATTAATATATTGTATGTCCTTGGATTGTAGTCATATATAATGCCCCTCAGACAGTCATATTACTATACTGTTGCATGTAATAGCTTTTTCTCTGTAAGAATTTTTCCTATAAAGGTGTCAACAACCTTTTGTTCATAGATTATGCAATATGAAAAGAGAGATCAACAAGGATGAGCACTATTCACAGAGCCCATCCCCTCAATAATGGACAGTCACACGGTACCCACACTCAATACAATCATGTCAGTAAAACAATAGTGTAAGAATTCCTCATAACTGATGACTATTCTTTCAAACAATTTGTTTGTATAAATGTATATTAATCAATTCAAGGGGGATAACTCAGCTATATATAATTTTGCCCACTTAGCAAAAGATAAATGACAACTAGTCCAAGTTATAGCTTAAGTCAGGACCATTTTAGTATGCTATGCATAATTTTGACATAAGCAAGGGTAATAACACTGATGACTACTGCAGGTGACAAAGTTTTGCAACCAACCTGAAGTCTTACTTTAAGATATACTTTTATAAGTTAATCAACGTAGTACATAATCTAGGTTAAGTATTAAGGAAGTAGAATAACTTGATCACCTAGTGACCTGTAAAACTTCTTTCAATGTCTAATTAAATGCCAAAATAAATAAGTATAATATTGATTTATCACCACAGTGACCTTACACTGACCAGCAAACTATACCAGGAGTTATCTTTATATTAACAAATTGATGCCCACATTGTTTAGACAGTTTTAGCTTCAATAAAATGTCAACAAAATCTTTCTGGGGCAAACTTCAGCAGTATATCCTCATTAAGAACCATTTCACTTTTCTGATGTTTGACCTACCATTACCAATTATTTTGGGACATCAAGATAAAAATTTAAAGCTGGTCTGCTAACATTTTAGAGCCTGGCTCAATACATATTGGTCATGGTGGCAAAGGTTGATCATTTTTCCGGTTTAAGCTGGTAAACGGTTTAAAGTTCTTCTATGTCATTACAAGGATTCATAAAATGTAGAGGGACAATACTGGTTTTTTTTTTAATCAGACTTATAGTGTTATTTAAGTAAACACTTGGTAAACAAAGTCTATTTATTGTGCAACTACAGCAATTAGTTTAAGATCAAGTTTACATTAAGTTTAGACTGAGCAACTGAGGCAGACCAATCAATATAAGTTGATAAAAACTTCTTTCTATTTATCATTATGTATGTATATAGGTACAGCATTGGACTGTAAATCAGGTCACCCAGGTTCACTTCCCAGACGTCACTTTCGTTTTTAAAGGAGTCCAACTAAACAGTCCCCGGAACATTACCTCTGCAAATAATAAAGCCTGCTGGAGTTGAATAGGGACAAAGTGGAGTGAGGAAGTCACTAAAGAGAAACTTGTTCTGCCTAAACTGACTTAACATATCCTGTGTTTACCTAGTAAGCTTGACAGTACAGTAAGCTTGACCTTTACTAAGTCTGTACCATTTAAACTTAAAAATACATACCTTGTGGATGAACTGGACCATGGTTATTACAGGTTTGTGGTGGTGGAGTGCCATGTTGATGATGCATGTGTGGTTGGGCTCCCCGCGCCCCTGGGGCCGGAGCCCCACTGTGATGGTGTGGTGATGGGTATTGTGCATGACTGGAGTAATGACCGCCATAGGGCGGGTAATACTGTGGGGCATTGTTTGGTCCGCCCTGAAAATACATAAATAACACCATTGTTAATACCAATTTTGTAATAGTGACAATATAACAGTTTTTGAGAAAATTGCTCTTTTCAAACTTATCTTAAACTTTATATAGTATCTCAAATAGGTAACTTTAAGTCAGATATAGTCTTCTTGACTAGAGGTCATGCATTATGCTTTCATTCTAGATGTTCTCCAAAACACTGCATATGTGGGTTTTTCCCCAATCTAATCCTATAATACAAATATACTATTTACACAACAAAAGGTACATTACAAGCCATTTAATAGTGACCTGTAAAATGGTAAGAAGTCTTATGACACTTTTAAGGCATACAGATATTATTACCTATAGTAAAATAAGTCATTATTCAACTTTAATTATGAAGTCTATATACAGTATTAAAGCATTGACATTAAAGCTGTTTCAAATTTCAATATTTCAACATGTCTCTTACAATTAACATTACCTTTACAGCTAATATTTCTTATATTTTCAACCTTTCTTGGCAGTGTTGGCACACTGACTGCATTTCCTACAAGGTCAAGGTCATTTGATACATATAACAACACTTTGAATGTTCAAGACGAAACAGGTTAAAGGAAGGACCAAATACACTGCAAGCTGTGCAAGCAATGTATAGCTTAGGAAGGAAGCTTTGAATTTGTAACTACATATTAATACTGCGAGGGTTTTTATTTTAAATGATGCTAACAATATAATTAATCAAGGCCAGACTGCCTTAGATTGTTGTATGTATGGAACTCTTATCATAATTACATATACAGTCCAACCCCGTTTATTCGAAGTGTCTGGGACTGAATATTTACTTCGAATAATCGATGGGTTCGAATAATCGAAATCGGAATATTGTGATAGACGAAAACTACTCCACTTTGACCAATCATAGCAAAACTACCGTTTACAACACATTCACTTCCTGTAATCACCTGTTATCAATTGAGAAAAATAAATATTAAAGAAAATATGCGTAAAAATTATTGTATTATTGATAAATAGGTTTAATATGGTGGAATTGCACGCACCTTTTCATTGGCAAATTATAATAATATTTCTAATCAACCAATAGAAGCCAGTCATTCAAAGATGCATCAACCAATAGAAGCCAGTCATTCAAAATAAGACTGTCATTAAAAGGATAATTTCACATTTTTACTTTGGATATTGGGTACGAACCTAACCATTTCTCTTATGTCACTTCAAGTCCCAGGAAGCAGCCTCAAGAATGTATTTAAAAAGGTTTCAAGCTCTAATCACACAATTGACTTCAAAGAAAATATGTTTTGTACTTGACCAGTTGGCAACACTCAATTGAGTTGTTCATTATTCAGGCAGTTTATATTAAAAATGATTAACAGTTTTGTGAGAATTGCAAGATGGGGATATCCATTTAAGATATTTGGCCGAAAATAGGTTAAACTTCGATCTGATTAAATAATTTACCGTCATTGGACTTCCCATCATGCCAGGTGGTTGAGGCGACAATATCACATGTGTTAAAATTCCATTTTCGTCTACAATTTGTTGTACCATGTGACCAGGCGGTACCTGCATTGGCATTGGCAGTGGAGGACCGTTATTGGAAACCATTCTTACTGTTGCCGGACCTGAAAATATACAAATGGTCAATTTATAAATCCTATAATATATTACAGACATAATAATAATAACAACAACTTTATTTACAGAAGTTAACACATTAAGACAGATAAAGATTCAGGTAACAACTTATTTACCATGCGGCCTTCTAAATAAAATCATATCAATCAAGGAAAATATAACATGTAAAAGAAATGATAACATAAAGCTTAACCTCAGCATCTATATAAGACCCACCTTTATTGTTTACAGGACAAATATTGGATCAAATTGCTCTGAATTCATTAATGCAAGATAAGGGTGACAACATGTGCACTTTAACAAGGGCAACAACTCTTAGGGAAGAACAAGTATAAATCTGTTATTCAATTATTCTCTTGTTTTTTGTTGTTGTTTTTTTTGTTTGTTTTTTGTTGTTGTTTTTTTTTCATAAAAAGAATCAACAAATCTATTTATAATTTCATGAACATAATATATATCATATTGATATAAAACATAAAAGGTACCTTAAAAGACTATTAAAACCATAAAATATAAAATACTCAAAAAATTCAATCTGCAATATTAAGTTTTAGTCTTAGGACCACCACAAGAAAGCAGACCTAAAAACTGTTTTGTAAATAAAACTGCAAGAGTATATTACAAATCATACAAATATTCACTTACTCCACTTATCAAATAGAATTGTTTACCTCTTAATAAAATCATTATTCCTCAAGTGTATATTACCAGGTATATATTATATCAAAACAATTTCAATAAAATTGTTTGTATTAAAAACTAAAATTTTATGAAGTGCTTAATTAAAATCTAATAACAACAACAAAAACTATCAATAATTCCATTAAAAAAATCTTAAATTTTTTTTGAAATACAGAAAAAAATACCCTTAAAACTACTGAAATTACAGTCATGAATAAAGTATTTCTGTTCTCTAAAAGCTTGTTTCTCATACACACATTATTATTTTACATCCTTGTGCATGCATATTGTCAATATATTAAACAACCAATATTTATGTATGTTAAAGTTAACCAGTATCTATATATTGTATGATTATATTTAACAACTTTATATTTAACAAACATTACACACACAAAAATTAACTCCAATCAACTACATGTACTCATATTGTGCTTTTTTTACCACTTTAGTAATTTGAAGTTATTAACATCATATTACTTAAATAAATTACTGACTTACATAATATCACCTATGAGAAAGCTGCTTTAGCCATATAAAAAAGTAAATATTATTCATTTCCATTTGACCCACTTAAGAGATAACGCAACACTTGAAAAACCACAATTAACTGTGCATAAATCTGCCATAACTGTGAATTATAGACTTTAACACATAGTCAATTAACACCAATGTTCACATATCATCCAAGTGTTCCATAAAATACATAAATATTACACATCAACTCTGTTATTATTTCTGCAACAGCCTGCACTTTTTTGAACACAGTACATGATGTGTTGCCTCTGAGGAAAAAAGTGTTGTATGTAAAATAATTTGTAATGAAGGTTGCAAAAAAACGTAAACAAAGCAGTATTTACACGTCCATACAAAATACTAAATTACTGTGGATGTACTTAATTATTACCAAAAACACATAATTCAGCTTTGAAACAGAGTCATGACACCAAAAATAAAGGACATTCTTTAAATAAAAAATAACATTTTAAAGCTTGTTGGGCCTAATTCAAAATCAATGCTTTTTACTTTGAACAAAAAAATCTGCCAAATCAGCAGAGCCTGTGTTAATAAAAAGAGATCACAATGATTCTTTGGAAAAACCAGTGTTCTTGGGAAAAAAATGCTGTTACTTAACACTCTTTTGTTATAAAATGCATTCCTATCCCTGAGGGTATAAAAACAAGAGCAAAATTTAATTTTTCAACCCACACATTTCAAGGAAAAGTATTTTCCCCCTATTTAATGGATTATCTTCAACACTATAACCATCAATCCAAATTGAAGAGAGAAGTTCTGTATCCAAACACAAAGTAATTTCCATTACTGCTAAACAAGTTTAGTTTTATTCAAATTGACTGTGACTGTAAAACTTTTTCACCTTTTCTTTTCCTTATACGAACAAATTTAACAAGCTATATGAGTACTCAGTAAAAATACTCCCCTGGCACTTATTTTATTAAAGTAAAGCCGAGTCCTGTAAAAGCAAAAACTTTAAGATTTTTTAATCAATTCTTGCATTCACATTGTAAAGAGGTTATTAATGTGACACTGTAAAAAGAACAAATACCTTTGGTCAATAATCGTTTATCTTAACAATAAAACAAGTTTATAATAACTTTTTTAATAGTCTTTAATAAAGAAAGATGAAAAACTGACAAGCCAATGCCCGGAGTTAAAAGCTTCACCCAAATATCCTTAAACCCAACATTTTCCTATGTAACATTTAAAAAAAATATTACCAAGAGGATGATTCCACTGTAACATAATTTTACCCCCCAAAAAATATAACCAAGAGCAGGAATCCAACTGTAACATTTACCAAAAAATATTACCATGAGCATCCAATGTAACATTTACCCAAAAATATTACCATCAGAGCAGGAATCCAATGTAACATTTACCCAAAAATATTACTATGAGCAAGAATCAAATGTAACTATGATGATTGACCTAAAAATATTACCATAAGCAGGAATCCAATATAACAGTTACCCAAAACAGGAATCAGAAGTAATTATTACCAAAAATAGTCACATAATTTTCACAGTGGTCATTTACTTCTGAATACAGTCATTATGACTGTACATGTTCATAAGCAAATGTAAATGATAGTAATAAAAAAAATATTAACATTAAACATTACACATCTTGGCGCAAAAGTGTTCCAATTAAAATAGGAGCATGGTACAGAATACCACCAACTAAGATATTTAGTGTAGTCAAGTTATAAATCTTGGTTTACCACATCAACACTCCTAGTCAGTATAACATGCACATCCTCCATTAAAGTCAAACACAGAGTGCAATATATCATACTTCTGCACTTGATGCATGAACAATAAAAACACAAGAAAATGTCATATAGTCATTAAAATAGTCTTAATTCCGACAAGTTTTATAATATAGAACAGTGTGGTTACTGCCAAAAAACAAAACATTTATCAAATCCTTTCATTAGCAGTAAATTTCTGGGGTTTTAGTACCTCACTACAGTGTTGGGAAGAAAAATATGGCTTTTTTTATTCACCGATTCTTACATTTTTCATTCATGATTGTATACAATATTATATTGATGTGTTTTTTCCCTAAAAAAGATTTTTGGTCTTTCTGATCCTTTTGAAGATTTCAAATTTTCAATAGAAATTAGATGCAAATACATAATAAGAAAACCTGCCTTGGCTGAGATTTGAACTTGCCACCATTATAGCTTACAAATGATGTAAAAATTAACATTCTTAAGACCATCAATTTTGTAATGAAGTTGTCAAGATTTACAACGGTAGGTTAACATTCAACCATAACATATCCACTCTTTGGATGGTCAAAATTTCATTTTTATTTTTCACAAATTCTAGGTGCCATGCAGGCATCCTGGACTTTAGTCCAAACAATTTTGTTTTTCTTTTTCACAAATTTTAGGCGCCATTTAGGCATACTTAAGACAAGCCCAAATCATATTCTAACATTTTAAATGTATCAGAAAAACTCCTGCCTTGTCTCCAGGGATTCCTACTTTTGTGGATTGTGACCACAAGCTTTATTTAGTTCTAGACGTCTTAGGCCTGATGATGTTGTGAGAGGCTCTGAATTATGCTAAAATTGAAATTTCTCATAACCATAATATACAATATAAAACAGCCTCAACATCATTTTCTTTTGTTATTACTACAATAGCTGTTTTTTAAGCTATCTTAAATCAGGCCACAAACATGAACGGTATAATTTCTTTCCTGACACAAAATGTGTTTTCAGTTTTGTACAAGCAAATTAAGTCAAGAGCTTGTTCCCATTTAGTGGCAAACACTTGACAGCTAAATTTTATGCTTGGAGGATTCAGCAACACGTTTTTGACAGGAGAACGTCCCTGTGAGGGATACAGCTCAATCTTGAGGAAAAACACCTACATTGTTGACAAACACCAGTCTACAAAGGAAACTAGGTCATCAGCTGAACAGTTCTCAGTATTAAAATAAAAACAACACACATGCTGATGATCCATAAATCTTAAATCAGGCCTGAGTCACATGATGTTAAATGTATAACAAGGTCATGATTTATATGCTTATATAAAACAAAAACTGTACAATAAACTTCTTTGATATCAAAATAACAAAAGACTTGACATTACTAAACAATGCTTCAGTGGCAAGTGGTTTATAATATTAAAGTATGCCTGATTTTTAGCTTATCAAGCTATTTTGTTCCACAAGGTGATAAGGTGGGCTAAACATGCTATTTTAATAAACTATAAAGCCAAACTAAGGATATTTTACCAGAATAAAGTCTCACAATATCCAATCATTCTACATAAAGATATCTTTTCAGTGACAAATTTATTTTTTTTTCAGTTGAGAAAAATTTATACAAACACTTAGTCTTTAAAGTAGGACATGGCTAAATGTCTGTATTTCTATGTTTATATTTTCTATCCAGTTTATTTATCTATGGTTAAATCGACCTAAATTCATGAGAATAAATTTCATTCAATCTGAATCTCAAGGAGAACAACATATTACTCTGAAGAAAGCTCCTACAAACCCAAAGAATGTTAAAGGAACTCCACTGCCATCAAAATGACTTAGAAATTCTTGCATAGATTAAATGAAGCACATTAATGGAAAAATTCTGCAAAGGAAAATAAAGAAATTTACTCAGAACTGAATAGAATATTGATTTATTTGTGCAATTTTTAGCTTAGCCCAATGAAAAGCGATGCAATGCCTTTCATTCTTGTGTAATTTTGTACAACAAAAAAAGGTTATTCTGATAGACAGGGTGAGAGAATGAACTGAAAATTTGAACAGAA